AATGCTCATGCCTTCTTCAGAAACATGTAAGCTGCTGTAAAGCTGTGCAGTGAAAGGAGCTTCGTTTACCCCGCTTACCAAGATCAAGACTCGTAACTTGGCAGGGTCTTACAAAAGAATCTTGCAGAAGTGCAAAATGCCCTTCGCAAGCCAACCAACACCCTCCTTTATATTAGCAGTCGGGTAAATATACCGTCTCGGGTTACATGTCAACCGCGGGGGCTCCCTCCTTCATTTTTTTCGTCCTCCCTCTTTTCTTTCCTTCATTCTCCTTCATCTTCCCCTTCCCTTCTCCTTCTCTCATCAACGGCTGGGCCAGAGGATGCTATGAAAGAATACCTCTGATCCTCATGTCTGGTTGAAAGAGTCCTGTAACTTATATGTCTACTCCATGTCCCGGAGATGGAGAGTTTGTGGCTGCGTACTACATTCAAACGTTGCAGCAGCTGCGCTTCTGGAGGGGTATTGCAGTTTCAGAACAGTTGCAACATGAATTTGCCCTGTACAAGGAAGGACAGCGCTTACATCAAATGCGATTATCCCACGAACATGCATCCTACGCAATCTCCGGATGAAGTGCGCAGCCACGCCCACTCGATCGCTGTATGTGCAGCGTATCTTTCCCGTTATTTCTATCGTTCTTTTCTTTCTCTTCTTGTCCTTGATTCCCTTGAACACTTCCGGAGACCGAGCGCGCTTTTTGGAAACCCCGTCTCTGTGACATTATAATCTTACGCATTGCACGTTTTCACGTACAGTACGTCTCTCGGTTTCCACATCCTGGAGTCCCTCCCCCCCCCCTTGAAAAAAGTGCCCATCCACGAATTGTCGCTTGTTAGTTGCACACCTTTCGACGCTCTGGCAGCCGCTGTTCTCTATGCGCCGTGCAAGCTTTCGCGACAGAACTACCCAAAAGAGTTCGACTACAAGCTACCGTAACTTATTTCTCATTACTTTCCTTTCTGATTTCCCTTATTAATTTGCTTACTCGTACCTCTCATTCACGTACAGTCTCGTTCGCTGTGGATTATGAGGTGTGTAGAAAGGGGGATGGGGGAGGGGGTGAGTTTAGCGCGCCCAAGCCGTTTTTTTTAAGCAAACGACAAGACGGTATCGTACTAGTCGTTTACCACCGGTTATCGTCTCTTTCTCACTTCAACATTTGGTAGGGAATGGGCTGGTGGCGCGCTTAAGCTAGCAACATTGACACGCCCTATTACCCGTAGCGATTAAGAATGTACATTCTTTTTCTTAGAAACTGGTAGAAATTTAAGTATAGATTTAGGTTGTCAGGCGGGGTACAGTAAAATGCCGTGGGACTAATTGTGTGGTCCGTGGATGCACCCAACGGGGTCTGGTTCTGTGGGAACCACTTAGTTTGGGCGTGGTTCTACAGCACACAGCTGCGGGGTGGGTGCCTGCCGGGTCGCTGCGCGGGTGGCCGCCGCATCCCGGAGCTTCCTCCCCCCCCCTGAGCGTGCGCGGAGTGCCGATTGTGTGCGTTCACGACGCGACATTTTTAACTTCACGCGCAATTTTCGGGGTTACTGTACACAGCCGACAACCTGAACTTATAATCTTGTCTGGGAGAAGGAGTTGTGGCAATGTACCTTCCTTTTCAGCGCTATTTCATCACATTTCTTTTTTGGTGCTGCATAGGATTAATAGTTGGAGCCCGTTACATCTTTAAATATTTATACCAGGCCTCTTCAGAAAGGTATGCTTATCATCCTACTTGGAGGGTTTGCTTTCTACAGTGTTGCTATTTCAGTTCACAAAGGTTTTTGTGCTGTATTGGTTCACTGACCGCTGGACCATGGATCAAGAGTTGTACAGGTCTTCTACATTCCTTCGCGTGCATAGTATTTTTAGCAATGCTTAGTAGTACTATATCGGCAGGAGCGTTTTTCGTAATGCAGGTGAGAAGTAGCTAGTAAACCTTTGCTATAAAAACCATTCAGCGGAAAACTATTTCTTAGATTTATTATACGAGCTATGGGTACACAATGTATGAATATCATAGCAGTATTAGAGATGCCTTTGACGGTGACGGGTTAGTTAATTTTTGAATTTTTCAAAGAATTTTCCACTGAACAGTCTTTTCCATCTTTTGCTATTCTGAACTTTTATCAATTTGCCTTGCATGCGCTTGTTCTTCTGAATTTGAAGTTTTTTTTTTCGGCGCGGTATAGGGACAAGGGGGGGGAGGGCGTCTTTAGTACTTTCCGTTGCTTCACTAGTGCCGGTTCACAAGTCTCACTCTGAAACCTGTGAACTCGTGTGAAGCTGGAGTAAGCTAGTCATCAGCATGGTAAAACCTGTCAACCCGAGAAGAGACTGTCTAGATTTGTTGATGTGAAGAAGCAAAAGTACAAAATGCCCCCCCCCCCCTTCTTCTTCGCAGAACTGCCCCTCGCTTTGTTTTCTTTTTTCTTTACCTTTACTTCTTTCCTTTGTACGGCGATTTTTTGGCAGCATTATTTTCGTCTCGGAGGGGTCCCGTAGAGAGAGCTACAACGTCCCAACGGGATAAAATCACGTCGTGTTGTCTCAGTGAAGGAACAGACTGGCTTGTGTGAAAAAGGTGTGACGCTAAGCCATGTTATGTTCTGATGTTGCTTGAGCCATGAAAACATGTCATATGGCGAGAGGTGCAGACCAACAAACATGACATTGTTCAATTTTGCCAGATAAAAGTTCCTTTCGAAACAATAGCGTCCAAAGCTCTGATTTTTGTTGATGTTATACCTATCTGAACAAGGTATAAGTACACTTTCAGCACAACTCTTGGAGAGAGGTTTCGCCTGATTTTCGGTCGTTATTGGTTATTGAATTTCTTGTTTCCACTCTGTTGGAGTCCTCAACTTCTCACCACTGAACTAGCGAATACCCTGTTTCGTGTGAGAAGTAAGACAGTAAGTAAGAGTGATTTAGACACCTATTTTCTCTTAGATTTGCTTTAACGTGTCATTTATTTTCCCTCAGTTTCAAAGTGGTTCTATTACCCATACTTGTTTCCGCTTTTCGCCAATGATCTCTTTCTTCACTAATCTCATTCCGTGCTCTGATGGCTCCTTGCTTTTGCCATGCAGGTCAAATGTTCTAGTGAAACTCAGTCTGTTACCGAGCTTCTTCCCTATTTGTGGATTATGTAACGTTATCTTCTTTTGTGTGAAATGTAAAGAGTGAAAAATAGAGTGATTCATGTTTCTTAGCGTGAAAAACTAGTGATAAATTAGGTCATCCCATTCAAAAGTGCCGACGGTTTATTCGAATAAAACAAACGGGAGAATAGATAAAAAAAAGTAATATTTTGGCTTCAAGTTAAGTAAATCCCTCCTTCACCAATGACCCGCTCCCAGTGCCCCGAAAGCCTTTGGACCTCTGGTACCTTCGATTTTTCAACGAGTAAATTGCTGTTGATGCCAATTTCGGCGAATGACAAAACATTGTAGCGTTTGCCGTCGGAGAGTACCCTCGACTGACCAGAACAGTTGGAATCGAACGGCTTTATGTTGGGCGAGTGTGATTGAACCCAAGCCTCAGTATTGTTTGTGTCCCAGCACTGCCCTACAATACAGTCACTCGGGG